TGTGTGCTGAGCCCTCTCCAGCATCGTCTCTACAACCATGACTGCAGTTCCACCCACAACAATCACATCATCAAGTTTGTGGATGACAGCATGGTAGTTGGACTCGTCTCAAAGGGAGACGAGGAAGACTACAGAGAGGAAGTCCTGACGTTGGCAGCCTGGTGTTCAGAAAACAACCTGACACTGAACACTAACAAAACCAAAGAGGTCATCGTCGACTCCGGGGGGCACAGCACTGACTGACACTAACCTGCTGCTGACCTTCTACCACTCGTCCACTGAGAGCCTGCTGACTGCATCACAGTATAGTACGGCAGCTGCACTAAGGCAGACAGGGTGAGGCTTCAGAGTGTAGTATAGAAGATCTTTGGCTGCCCTCCCGCCTCCCTGATGGGCATTTATTCCTTGCTCTGCCTCAGCAGAGTAGCACACATCATCAAGGACAGCTCCCACACTGGTTTTGACCTGTTAAACTTGCTCAAAGACTCAGAGACTCAAATACTCAAGAACAGTTTCTTTCCAAAAGCCATAACCACCCTGAACCCACACATGCACTGATGGCACAGTTTCACCCCCTAATCCAAGGACTTCCCTCTATACACAGACTACAAACTACCATCACCACTCTGCAATATTTAATTTACCTGCCATAACCCACACTGTAAACATATGATACTGTTTTTCCCCTGATATTGGATTGGGACTGTTCATATGTATAAAGTACTGCAGAACTGTGTCTGCACTGAGTAGAAGATGCTCTGAATCTCATTGTGCACGTGTACAGTGACAATAAATGACATTCTACTCTATTCTATTCTATTCTATTCTAATCATGGATTGATGTGAAAAAATGGGGGAATGGTGGTTGGTGTGTGAACCACCATTTTCCACCTGGTATGTGCAGAAACAAACTGTACAGTAGTGATGTAGACTAATGCACGTTTCCAAAATCACAGAAAGATTTCTACAGAAGTACTGATGAAAAACATGATATGGCACAGTTACGTCACCTACCTGTTCAACCTTTTGGAAACACAAAGGTACATGAAATGAGAAATATTGCTGAGAACATGCAGTTTGTGAGGATAAAGTAGATGACTTAACTAGAAGCCGTGACAAAAAAGGCTTCAATGTGGCAACAATGTGTCAACAATGTGTCAACAATGTGGCGACAATGTGTCAACAATGTGGCGACAATGTGTCAACAATGTGGCGACAATGTGTCAACAATGTGTCAACAATGTGTCAACAATGTGGCAACAGTCGTCATCCAGAGTGTTGAAAATAGCGGGAAAACATTTCACATGTGATGTTTAGCTTAGAGCATGGGCCAATCAGCTCTGACGCCATCTGTTCTCTGTAGCCACAGTCTCCCAGCCAACCATCCCACGCAGTGACAGTACATCGTCCTGCTTGAGTGTTTATGACAATAGTTACTTTGATAAGAGCTCGTGCAACATATCCGAATATTTCCAGCACACTGCACATTTACTGATGTTGCTTCATGGATGTGATTTGGCTCAAAGATCAACTCCCAGGTTAAATAATCAGACTACATAAAAGCCCAATTATGAATTCCCTGTTAAGTTGCTGTAAAACACCGAGTGCAACCAGCATGGTGCTGCTGTTTTGATTGGCAGATTTTCCATGGCTTTTAAATCAAACAGTGACCTGATGCGATATGATTTAGCTGATTTAGAGAGATGGGATCACAGTGTAAGACGAGTTACTGCTACTATATTTTTACACAGTTTAAATGTATTTTTTCAGTTGTTAATGCTTAATTTGCCTAAGTCTTATATTCACTAACCTACTAAGGTATCATTTTGCATTGGCTTCATATACTTAAGTTACTGCACGGTCAAATGAAATGACCATGAAATGATCCATTGAGAGTCACAATAGGCCACTGAGGGAAGTTAAAGAGGAGGTGGAACAGCAAAGTGTTTGACATTCAGCTGCTGTAAAGTAGACAGGGAATTTTTTACACAGCCAACTTTGAATATCTGTGTCTCAGGGATTTTGTAAACTCCTCTCCAGGGGGATGCGAGGCGCTCATGCATCAGTTCTAAAGTGATTTTTTTAACTAGAAATGATGGTCTCACCCGTTATAAGGTACGTAGATGTCAGGATAACTGTTGGCGATTTTCACATCCGATCCAGGCCAGAAGAAAGTCCCAGACTTCAGTCCGTGGGACTTTGCTGTGTGCCAAATCTCCAGAAACAAAGAAGACGTATGAGCTTGACTGAAACGTGTTCAACGCTGATCCTGAAGTTTCTTTTTAACAACGTTTATAGGAGTTGATATTGTTGTTGTTGAAGTTACTTGCAGTGCACTTAGTGTCTCTTTCTACAAGATGCAACCTTTGCTGCATTAAATGAATGTGCTCTGTGTCCATTTTCAGAAGCAGCATGTTAAGGTGGAATCTTTATTATCAAAACAATGTTAACCATCTTAAACCAACAGAGCCATACAAGCTTTTTCCATATTACACAACTGCTGCATGCAGCAATGCAGAGCAGCAATGTGCAAGTGCCCGGGGACTTTTCCTTAGGTGAAACTGTCAAAAGCAAAAAAAACAAAAAAACAAAACAATCCAAAAACTTTATTTGGCATTTTTGTATTTGATTACACCGACAAAAATGATCTCAACCTGTAAAATGTTCTCTCTCATCTTATTTGCTTTAAAAGGTCACCTTCCCCTTAACATTTAATTTTTAAATGTAATTTGACCTGAGGTCGCTCAGTTTGTGTGTGTAAATCAAGACTCACAGGTTGTCCAAGGTACCAGTCGGGGTTATTTTTCTCTGGACTGGACAGGGAGAAGGTGGCATCAAACACCGGGTCGTACATGGTATTGTCAATCAGACCATTTGACTCTGGGTAGAGACCCTGAGGGAGGAGGAAAATAATTAATAATTCAGTTTAACTGAATATATCAGTCTTGTCTGAAAGCATCCTGCAGGGCACTTGAGCATTCTTTGTTTCGTAACAGAGAGGAGTAATCCTTAAATCTGGGTCATGTGTCTTCATACCACAAGTATGTGCTCCGTATGGACCTTGAAAGGAAACTTCTAGTGCGTGGGAGTCGGGATTCCCTTACGTGATTTATAAGTAGATGAACGAGTTTGTTTTGAAAGGGAATTCCTTGTAAGAGTTTCAGCAAGAACTGGGTGTGTTTTATCATGTGAGATATGGATCAGGCACGATGAACTATCCGTGCTCTGTTTACTCTCCCGACTTGTTTACTGCATCGCGAGCGCCTCAGCAGCAGGCTGGTGCAGAAATCCCAGTGACCTTTATCTGGAATCTGAGAGATGAAAACTCCAGGCTGATGGATATTCTCAAGATCTGGAAAATTTGGTCATGCCTGCTGTCTCTTGTAACTTTCCTCTCCTTAATGTCAAGTATAATCGTAATAAATGCTTCTATATTTCAGAGAGAATATAGTTTTATTACTATATTCTAGTGATGAACTTGAACTAGAACATGTTTCTTAAACTACACACTATTCTGTAGTGAATGCTTTATTGGGGTTAGCATGGGGTTAGCATCTTGCTTTGGCATGCAGACTGGGATCGAACCCCTGACCTTCTGGTTAGCGGCCTGCTCTACCACCTGAGATACAGCCGTCAATGTCTCTGTTAAGGTTAGTGAGGACCTCACCATAAGAAAGAGACTGAGCAAAAATAGCCAGCATGGCCGACTTCTAAGACAAAAACCGCTGCTGAGCCAAAGGAACAAAGGCTCGTCTCAGTTTTGCCCCACGATTTTTGTAAAAATGCTCTCTGGATGGACAAGATAAAAGTATAACTTTTGGAACCCTTCAATTTAGAAAAGGAACATCAAACCAACAGTAAAACGCGGTGGTGGCAAGGACCCAAATGCAGGACTTGGAGATGACTCAAACTCAAACACAGCTTTTATTGTTGAAACTCCAGAGCTCAGGGAATACAAAACTTAGGCATGAACTGAAACTAAATATCACAGAGACCAGGAAACGCTAGAAAACATTCTGGGGGCAGACAGAAGACAGAAGACAGAGAACAGACAAACGGGTACATGACCAGAGACACAGCTGAATTGAATTACAACAATTCAGCCGACATTCCTCCGCAGCTGTAAGAGTCACTGCAGGTATCGTAAACGCTTGATTGCAGTTGTTGCTGCTAAGCGTGGCCCAACCAGTTATTAGGTTTAGGGGACAAACTCTTTCCCACTCAGGGCCTTTAATAATAAACATCTTTATTTCAAATCTGCATTTTGTGTTTATTTACATTATCTATGTCTAACAAACACAACGATCGAGTTTGTTTACTGTAAAAAAGATGTACTAATGTATGCAGCAGTGTGAGTGCTGTGCGTCTGTACCGTAACAATGGAGTAGTGATTGGGAAAAGTCTT